CGGACAGGAAGGATTGGGTTTTTCTGCAGCGTTTGGCCCGCTGGAGCTCTCTTCTGGTGTAGAGGGATGGCGAGACCAGAGGTGGAAAGATCGACTGCTTGCTTTTAGCGTGAAAGCTTTTTACTTATTAGAAAATCTTTAAAGAAATATATTACCAGAAGAAAATCTTAAAGAAATCATAACAACACTACAGGAAATAATATTAAAATTAGATAACACGAGATATCTTACTATTGAAGATATGAAAGAATTTTTAAAGGATCATAAAAACCATGGAAAACTCACAATTATTGAACCTTACCTAATATGACAACTATTGATGAGAATATAAATAAATTAAATGATTTACTAATGGCCTTAAGTATTGAATCAGATAACGAAGACCACATTGAAAATGATAAAGTAGTACTAGACTACAGTAGTGATGAAAATCCATATACAAATTATATGAACACAGAAAATAACCCAGGAGAAACATCCAACCCATCTAAATCAAATAAAAGACGATTTAATGATTATAATGACGGTCAAATTAATTTTGACAAATATCTTTATAAAAATCATTTTGCTCCTCGTGGGGGGGGGGGGGGGGGGGGGGGGGGGGGAATGGACGAAAATTCCTCACTCATACATTCCTAAATACTCTACAACAAGTTATAATAGTTCAGATATTCTAGATTTAGACTGTAGTACTAATCCATTAAAAGAATTAGAAGACTAGAAAAATCGAACAGGATTATTAATTCAAACTAACGAGGAATTAAGAAAACTTCAACCTAGTGAAATATTTAATTTCTTAATATACAAAACCACTGGAACAGTTTATTACTATTTAAGTGCAATGGATATTCCTGCAAAAACAACCCTATATGGGGATGACGCTATAAAAACTTTTGAAAAAATATTAAATGCTTTAACCTATGAATTTCTAGGAAGATATCCAAGACAAAAAGAAACTAATGCAACTCTGAGTAATCAGGCTATTTGGCACCTAACTAACTTAAGAATCTGCAATATGTGTTATTTAGAATCATTTATTTGCGAATTTAAGATACATTATTATCAGGTTATTCCATCAGTAAGAAAAGACTTAGATAAATTATTCTTTTCTAAACTTCCTTTAATAGTAGCACAAAAAGTAGAAAATGCTTTTAATGAAGCAGTTCAAAAGGAAGAAGTACCAGATACATTAGGAGGACGAATTCTAACATTACAGGAATGACATAAACGAGCCTGTAATGAAGAAAAACTAAAAAAGCAAGCTAAAATTGACCTCTGCTGTGAGGTCTCCACCGATAAAATCGGAAAATACGGATGTAGTGATGAACGACCAAAAATAAAGAAAAAACGGAGATACGAAAAATACAAAAAATGGCGAAAAATACCCTATAAGGAATATAGAAAAAATAGATATAGAAACCCTAATAAGTATTTTAGAAACAGAAAACAATTTAAACAGAAAACTAGCCAGAAAAATTATTTATGCTGGCTCTGCAATGAAGAAGGACATTATGCTAATAAATGCCCAAAGAAAAACACTAATAATAAGAAGCAGGAAGTTCTAAGGATAGCATATGATTGTGGATTCGAACCTATAGAAGAAACATATTTTGAACTATCAGACATAGAAATTATTGAATATCTTACAGATTTAGAAATATTTCCAGATGAGTCAGAAGAAGATTCTAGCTAAAAATAACCCGAACGCAACATTCATAAAAGTTACTATTGAAAATAAGAATCTTCTGGCATATATAGACACAGGAGCAACACTGTGTTTTGCAAAAAGATCGACCATTAGAGGTTGGGATAAATTAGATAAACCATTAAAAATTATCGTTGCAGATAAATCTATCCATGAAATCTGGTATGTAAAACATTACGTGCCTATCATTATAGAACAATACGTATTTACTGCCAAAACAATATATCTTCATGATTCAGGATTAGACATAATAATAGGAAATAATTTTCTTAAACTATATCAACCATTTACTCAAAGAATTAAGAGTATAAGTCTAAAAGCTCCAAAAACGAAAAATCAAGAGTAAAAAAACGTTACCACCAAGATAATAACAAAAAACGAAGTATTAAGAACTGTCTTACAAAGACTTAAAAATAAGCTTGAATAAATTACCAAGAAAAGATTATATTCTGGAACGATTGAAAGGACAAACTTGGTTTAGTAGCCTAGACGCTAAATCAGGATATTGGCAATTAAGGCTCCATGAAAATACAAAACCCTTAACAGCTTTTTCATGTCCACCACAAAAACATTATGAATGGAATGTGTTACCATTTGGAATTAAGCAAGCCCCAGGAATTTATCAGAGATTTATGGATAAAAATCTAGAAGGATTGGAAGATTTTTGTTTAGCATACATTGATGATATTATTATCTTTTCAAATAAAGATAGGATAGATCATGAAGAAAAACTAATAAAAGTTTTGGAAAGACTAAAAGAAAAGGGACTGATAATTTCAAAAAAGAAATCTAAATTGTTAGTCAATGAAATTGAGTATTTGGGAATGAAAATAAATAGTACAGGAGAAATAGAACTAGCCACTAATGTTAAGGAAAAATTAGATAAATTTCCAGATAAAATGGAAAATAGAAAACAAATACAACGATTTCTAGGAAATCTGAATTATATCAGTGAACAGGGATTTCTAAAAAATCTAGCAAAGGAAAGAAAATATCTTCAGCAGAAAATATCAGATAAAATACCTTGGAAATGGGATGACAAAGACACAGAGGTGGTAAGATTTATGAAGGCAGTTGTGATCATTTACCAAAATTATATTACTCATGCGATCGAGATTTTCTTATTGTCGAGACAGATGCATCAAGGGATACATGAGCAGGTTGCATGCTTGCAATACCAGAAGGCAAAAAATTACTATCACTTGATCACTATGGCAATATAATTAGCAATGAATCAAATGATTCACCCTATATCAGTAATGAATCGAACGATTCACCACTATCTCGATGCAGTAATGAATCGAATGATTCAAAACAATATGACTATACAATACCATTCAATACAGACAAATATACAAAGAAGTTATGTAAATATATATCTGGAACATTCTCTTCCACTGAGAGAAACTACCCAATACATGAGCTAGAGACACTAGCCTGTCTCAGAACACTGAAAAAATGGAAACTAGAATTACTGACCAGTCGATTCGACTTACGAACCGTCTCTAAATATGTTACAGGTTTTTGGAGATACAAACTGGATGCGGACTTCAATAAAGGAAGACTTATTCGCTGGCAACAACAACTTCACTATTATCGGCCATATCTGAAGTATATCAAATCAACAGCCAATCCACTAGCAGACACTCTTACACGAGAATGGAAGGGATAATCAAGCAAATGCGGCATCAGCAACAGCAGAAGGAAGAGCAGATACGTGCCCTCGAAGTACAGCTTTCTCAGCGGCGAGGGGAATTAGAGCAGATAAGGACCACCATCACCATTCTGCAAAGCACTACTCAACCACAAAATGTTATGCATCAGCAAACTATTCAGCTACCATTTACAGAAAAAAATACACAACCAGAAAAGGATATACCATCATCTACAAAATGGTCAGACATGGTAGAAGAAGACGAGAAAAACGAAGAAGACGAAAGAAAATCAAAGAAAGGAAAATGGTATGTCATTTACGACGGACCTTTTCGAGGACTCTATAACAACTGGGCAATAGTATCTCACCATGTTACGGGATACAACATCAAACACCAATCATTTTCAACCAAAGAAGAAGCAGAACAAGCATTAAGAGAATCATACAAGGCAATTGCTATGAAACAAAAGACAGAGTCAGTCGCTCCACAACAAAAATTAGTGATGAAGATACCAAGTATCAGCATTAAGGATATTCCAACCACGAAGCAAAGGGAAGAAATCAATAGACCTACACTTCAAAAATTCCAACAATGCTGGGAAGATCTTCTCAATTACAAGTAAATTCATACTACCATGGGCTTCTATCCAACTTTTAAGGGAGGACCAAGAGCAGTCATCATCACAGATAAAATCGCACCAACAACACTATTTGCTCTCCATCAATATGGATTAATCGACACAATATACATACAGAAGACTTATATCTTCGAAGAATTCCCAACAAAGTTCAAGACAGTCGTAAAAAGGTATCTAGACTCATTCGCCAAGGGTAGAGAAATCTATCTGCGATACACATCCAGCTATCCGGTATTCAACAAGGAAGAAATGGTCGTGCCATCAAAAGCAATCATCAAAATGGGAGTATCTAATGGCAACTATCCAACCAGAGATGAATTAGAGACAGCCAGGATACCAGAAGACTATCAAGTCAAATCATTATATTCAGTAAGTCAGGCCCTATATTATCTTAACCCAACAGATAATATTAAAGTCAATTATACCAGCACCAACAAGATCATCATCAGCAATTCTAAAAACCAGATCACACCAGAAGAATGGGGATTCATCACAGATCTAGCCAAGGATTTTATCAATCTAGAAGGGACGTTAGCCCCACTAACGTCGGAACAAAAACAGCAACTTTGTGAATTATTGCAACTACACGAGGATCACATATGCACCCACTGTGCAGCAGATATGACTACCTCCACTAATAGCAGCAATGGAATCAAAGAAATGTAATCCACCAAGGACAAGAAGACAAAGCATCAAGAATCAAAATTCAAAAGGCAACATCAACTAAAGAAAAGAAGACAATGCATTATGCATCAGGGCATCAGGCAAAGGCAAAGTAAAAGAAGAAAATAACTAAAGGACAAGATGACAAGGATGACACATCAAAAAGAAAAAGACTAAAGAGTAAAGAAGTGTGTCTGTTTTTCTCTTTTGATCAATAATGTAGTCCATAACGTGTGTTTGTTTTTCTCTTCCTAAGTGGAGAATGATGTAAGTACATATGTAAGCAGGCAACGCTCCTGCATCTATAAATATGTACATCTGAACCTCATAAGGAGGCAGAGTAGAATAAAAGCTTGAGACTTCTCTCTCAAAAGACTAAGTGTAGTCTTGGTGCTTCGGCACAGAGCGTTTGAGATAATACTCTGGAGACGCTCATATCTACTACCACCTATCCATAAAAAACTATACACCAACCATTAACACCACAAAGAATTCTCCAACACCATTTTCAACGATCATAAGCAATCAGCCTCCCTCGCACCACATGGGGACGTTCAGTAGCAAGAAGTTGCATCAATCAACCTAAGCAACGATCAGGTATGTCGGATAATCCCAGTAGCAGTAACAATTACTTTAATTATTTAAGTAAAAATGAGGAAGAAAATTATTTTCTAGATGGAATATTAGATGTCAAGAAAATTAAGGAACAAACTAATTTTACCTTATCAGAAACGCAAAATTTTATTATTAAGTCTTTTTTATCCAAACTATTTGATAGAAAAAATATAATTAAATATGGAAAAATGATAGGAGAAACGACAGTACCAATAGAACAAACTAAGGGAGATTTCCTAATTCAAATAATAAATAGGGAACAAATTAGGAAAAAATTATCCAAGTTACAACAGGAAGAAAGAAATAAAATAGCTTATATTCACATTAGCACGATACAAATCATTCTAAAATCTACTATGAAAACAGGGATAAGTGCACCTATAGAACTAGAAATAAGAGATGATCGACTCATCAATAGAGAAGAGAGTATTATTGCAAAAGGAAAAGGAAATCTAGGAGTAGGAATAATCAAATTCGATATTAATCTACAACAAGGAATTAGTTTAACATATGGGAATCTCGACTCTTCCATTATTATAAAGTATGAATTGAAAAGAAAAAATTTCATGAAAGAAAACAGTAAACCTTTTTCGGTAACATACCAAATAAACTTTGCACTGACCAATAGTCATCATAGTCTAGCGTTTAAAGATAAGGAAGCCATCACCATAGAAGATTTATTCAAACCATTAATTCAATTAGAATCTCCTCTAAAAATAATAAAATCAAATTATGATCATCCAAGAATAAGTATAGATGAGAGAAGTTCTTCCATGAGATTAACCGATAAGCAGAAGGAAATGGAAAAAGAAGAAAACAAGGAAATAAAAAACATAACTATACTTCATCAAAATGATAATACTAGTGAAATAAAAAAGTTACAAGAACTAATCGTAGAAATGAGTGAAAAATTGTAAAGATGCCTAACACTTATTACATAAATAAATTGATAGAAGGAATAGATGCAATAGACCTTACATCAGTAGGCGACATTAATACGGTTACGTTAGAATTATCTCACTTCGTATCAGATATTGTAGAAGAACAAATGTCTATCGGAAATTCAGAAATATTAGAGAAAGCCGTATCTAAAACTGAATTAATTACCGATATAATAACTAGTCTAAACAAAATAAAGCAGAAACTAGAAAATAGATAAACCAAAAACAACAAAATGAAAATTAACCACCTTTATTTGGGCCATTCCATGAAAGAAAAAGAAAGAATGAGACTTGTTGCAGAAAACAAGGAAAAGAAAGAATGATTAGATTCTTTAGTAAGCTTTTTAAAAATAAAGAGATGATTGAGACTTCTCAAGAAACAATATATGAAACACAGAAACTTAGGAATTTGGAATCGTAAAATTATTGGTATTAGAGCTAAAATGGGAAAAGACCAAAAAGTGCAACCCGCTTCAACCCGACGGGTTCACTTTGACACATATACCTGGGACCAGCACGCTTTTTTCTAATAGGTAAAAACCTTTCATGCTAAAAGCAAGCAGTCGATCTTTCCGCCTCTGGTCTCGCCATCCCTCTACACCAGAAGAGAGCTCCAGCGGGCCAAACGCTGCAGAAAAACCCAATCCTTCCTGTCCGCCCGCCGCCGCCGCCTCCATCCTCTCCCTCCCCTCTTTGAAAGAAGAAGAACTCGGCAGCAAATCATGTGCGAAGATTTGCGAAAGCGAAATACAGATTGCAAACACTTTCTGGCGTCCCCCGTCTCTTGCAAGAAGGCTTGTTCTTCGATCTTTCCCTGCCATTCCTTCCTTCTTCTACTTCCATTCCTTCACGAAACTCTTTGTTACCTTCTCAATTCCTGCCCCCTGTTCGGAAATGCATTCTTTCAAGGTTCCGGATTCGTTCTAATGACTACCGCCGTTCGCACTGACCCCTCTGATACAGGTTTGGTTAGATTTCATTTTAGGGTTTCAATTTTGATTATGGGATCTGTGGGGGTTATCTTTGTTGAGAATCCATGGTTTTTCTGTATCTTAACCGGTCGCTGGAGTAACTCTTTGCGCGGATAGTTAGGTTAACCCACCTTTCTCTGTTGAGAAACTGGGAATTTCTTGGCATTATCAACAATGAATTGATTCTACGGTCAGTTGTTGGGCAAGATTGCCATTCGTTTCATGTAATGCATACTGGCTCTTGGAATCCTTTGATGACTTACTTGATTCTTTTGCAGGGCGCTGATTGTGAGTACCGGCACAATGAGACAGCAAGGAAGAACTCTAGGGATTGCAAGTTCTGGTTGTCTGGGGCCTGTCCATTTTCAAGCTGCGACTTCAGACATCCGGTAAGCAGTTCTTTCTTGAAACGTTTCTATGAGGGAGTTGCTTCTAATTCTATATCATCGTAGAGTGCACCGCTGATATAATTGATTCTCAAATTTATAATTGCAAGTAATTGTTGTTTCACATTCATGGTTCCAATGGGTTTTATGGTGATGATTTGCTTACTGTTTAGAGGTCCAGTTGCCTTATATGTGAGTTTTAGAAGATGGCAGCACCACCCCACCATTTTGCATTTTGATGCGTGGATAGGTTACCATGCTCTAGAGTTATTTCCCTAATCCAGTTCTTGCGGTGAATATGTGCAGGATTCTGTCACTGAGACACATCCTTGTCGGCTCTGAAATTAGCATATTTCTTTTTTTTTCCCCACGTAACTAAGCTATCGGATTTAATGGTGTGAATGGCAGTTCGACATCTTATGAGCAGCTTGCTAACCAACCATGCTTTCTGTCCCCTTTTCCTTCTTTTCCTTGGTCATTGCCTCTCATTCCCTAAACCAGGATGATTTGAAAACATAAATTTAATCCTGGTGGTCTTCTCATGGAAACTTGTTGAATAGCTAATTAAATTAGTTAGTTACCAATGTGTGTTTATCTTTGGTCCTAATCTTTTCTTCATGCGTATTGTTAGTTCTATGACTGGCTGATTATGTGCTCTGTAGATTTCATTGTAGATTGATATGCATGCACGTAATCGGTGTCATCTTCTTAGCCAATTCATATTCATGGGTCTGATGGTATTTCTGATGAGGGTTTGGTTAGTGTTTAGAGCTTCTAGTTGCCTTATCTTTGAGCATTAGAAGATGATTGTATCGCCAACCATTCAGCATTTCGATCTGCAGACAGATCATAAGTTTCAAGAGTTGTTTCTTTTGCCCTGTTCTTGGTTGTGAATGTGTGCTTTCTGTCTGTCTCTGAGTCATTTCTTTGTAGGCAAGCAAGTTCTGAAATTAGAAAATATTTCACATTTTTGTTGTTGAGTGAATGTTTCACCTATTCAAGGTATTGGATTTAGTCATTGCAAATGGTAGCAGACATCATTGCTGAATGCCTTTAGGGCGGTTTTATTGATGAGGATTTCTGATTGTGGTGATGGCAGATTGCTAACTAACCATGATTTCTGCCTCCCTTTTCCTTCTTCTCCTTTCTAATTCATCTCTGCATTTTCCTGACTTTGTTACTGGACCTGTACTTGGTAATTGCCTCTCATTCCCTATGCCATGATCTGAAAACATGAATTCAATCCTGCTGCTGTTCTCATTGAAACTTGTTAGAAATCTGATTATATTCGTTAGTTCGTAAAGTATCAGTTAATCTCCAAAGAGTTATAGGGTGTATATATAGATATTAGACCAATCAATTTCAGATCTGTTTTTCAACTTCATATTCATCTGATAAAATTATCTGAACTGTCAGCAGCTTCAAGAAAATCCATCTGAAGCTTCTTCATCTGGTCCAGCGCTAACTCAGATTACTCCACCGTCAATCAAGATTGCAGAACCTTGCTCTTTCGAATTTTCTCATGCGGTACAAAAAGATAAGCTGAGCCCTCTACCGGATGATGTGCTCATCCACATACTCTCTTTCCTACCTACCAAGTATGTCGTATGCACTAGCGCCCTAAGCAGACGGTGGATCCATCTATGGAAAAGTGTACCCACCATCGGTCTCGACGTATCGTTGCTGATGAATCATGTAATAGTGTCGGCTGGGGAAGCTAGAATAAAGTCGGAATTCCCCTTATTCGTCAACGCGGTTCTGAGACACCACAGGAATCTTGATTTTGTTCGGCCTTTCAGCATTGACTTTACCTTCTCCTCTTCTGGTGTTTTTCCATTCGATCCACAGCTTGATGGGAAGGAACTGGGGTTTGGGCCTCGCCTTGAGGAAGCTGAGGTTAGGTTTGCAGATGCAGCGTTACCTGAAATTCTATGCAAACTTCCAGATAGCCTCTACATTTTGGAAAAACTTAAAGTTTCTCAGCTCGGAAGGTTTAGAATGACTGCAACTGGGTTTGTGTCCCTTCCAAGTCTGAAGACCTTGTTGATTAGTGATTGCACGACTAACATCGAGACATTAAGAAGGCTACTTTCTGGGCGTCCTGTTCTGAAGGACCTGACTCTGTGTTTCTGCAGTTTGGAAGAGGATGACGATGACGAAGAAAAAGAAATTGTTGTTTCCTCACCGTCATTGAGAGATTTGCATATTGAAATGAATCCCGATGATACAGAGTCACTTTGCAGGTCTATCATTGTCATTGAAGCCCCGGAGCTCCGCAATCTCTATCTTGCAGATTTCACAAGCTTACAGTTTAGACTGCTCACTCCATTTCGAGACGTTGCCTCAGCTAAGATTTTTACTACTAGGTTCACAGTAGGGTCGCATCAGGCCCTGATTGGTTTAATCATCGAACTCTCCAATGTCCATGAAGTTAGATTGATTGGCAAGACTGCGGTAACTTACGCTTCAACTATTCTCCTGAAAGTACACTGTTTTTTGCATTTAGATTTGTTCTGACTTCTGAGAGAGCTGATTGTGTTCATACTTGTTTCAGGAATATTTGCGTTCAGGTGGTGAAGATGTTTGGATGCCCGCCTTCCCCAAGTTGCATAAAGTGAATTGCCCTAGATCACATTTATCTTGGATTGTGCACTTCTTTATGCGCAAAGCTGGAAACCTAAAATATTTTGAGGTTTGATAATTTCATGGGCATTGAAGAGTTGGGTTAGTAAATCAATCAGGGCTTCACGCAAGCCTTGGCCTGTCGTTTGAATCACAGCTTTGCGAATGCCTTGGCCTGTCGTTTGAATCACAGCTTTGCGAATGTCTGGAAATAGAGTCTGACCCCAAAACTTTAACCTTGTGAAATCAATAAGCAAGACATCGTGAAGCTCTGGAGTTTCAATGGCAATTGTACACATGCCAAGTGACCTTGGATCAGATGGAAAAATGAGAATCTGCAGAGATCTCAGTGACGGCAAGGAAACAATGATTGACCCTTCTACGTCATCATCTTCCAAACTGAAATAGGACAGACTAAGATCCTTCAGAACAGGAGAACCAGAAAGTAGCCTTTTTAATGTCTCGATGTTAGTTATGCCACCGTGAATCGCTAACGTCTTCAGACGTGGCAGAGAAACAGACCCGCAAGCAGTCACTCTAAATCGTCCGATCATCGCACATTCAAGCTTCTCAAGAGTGTAGAAGGTATTCGGAAGCAAGTGTGATATTCCAGGTACCTCCACTTCCCTAGGAAACCAAACCTCGACTCTCTCAAGATCAGGCCCAAATACTAGTTCCCTCCGGTCTAGCTGTGGACCAAATAGAAGCTCACCAGAAGAGTAGAAGATAAAGTCAATGCAGATACGCTGAACATAAATGAGATTCCTGTGCTGCCTCAGAACCGCATTGACGAAAAAGGGGAATTCCGATTTTATTTTACCTTCCTCAGCCGGCACTATTGCATGATTCTCAAGTCTCGGTATTCTGAGATCGATGGTTGGTACCATTTTCCATATATCCATCCATCGTCTGCTTAAGGCGCTAGTGCGTACGGCATACTTGGTAGGTACAAAAAAGAGTATGTGGATGAGCACATCATCTGGTAGAGGGCTCAGCTTGTCTGTTTGTACCGCATGGAAAAATGTGCCTTTCTCACCTTCGAAGCAGTAGCCCTGGGAGTTGAAAGAGAAAGGTTCTGATATCTTGATTGACGATGGAGTAAACTGAGCGAGCGCTGGACCAGATGAAGAAGCTTCAGCAGGCTTTACTACTTCCTGCAAAAATTATCAAACCACCCTGGCGATGAGACTACTGCAACAAAGTTATCGTTTAAGATATAGATATGGAACTAACACTTACGCTATTCTCCTGCAAGTACATTCTTTTTTTCCATTTCGATTTGTTCTGAAAAGCTGATTGTTTTGATCATTGTTTCAGGAATGTCTGCGTTCAGGTGGCGAAGATGTTTTGATACCCGTCTTCCCCAAGTTGTATAGTTTGAGTTGCCCTAGATCCCACTTCTCTTGGATTGTTCACGTCTTTGTGGACCGAGCTCCCGAACTAACACATCTTGAGTTTGATCCGGTGAGTTCCATATCTATATCTTGAAAGATAACTTTGTTACAGTAGTCTCATAGCCAGGGTTTGATAATTTTTGCAGGAAGATGAATACTAAGGTTGAGGGTCGCTTTCTGATAACACAGTTCTTGCCCAGTTCCCACTGATTACCATTGAATCTCCGTGTCCAGCTTCAGAAGACCATGCAGGGGGTTTTTGATCATTGCAATTTGTATTGACAATCTGTCAGCTTCATGGTTTCTATTTTGTGGAATATTGGTTTAGGGTTTTGTGGGGTTTACTGAGCGTTTTTTAAGATAAAAAATGTTCTGAAACTGAAGTATATGGAGGCTTCATACTCTTTTCATCTCATATGTTTAGAATCCCGCCGTGCTCCCAGATGGGATGGTTGTGAATGTGACACGAGAAAAATGAGTGGTTATGACAGTACTTTACATTTCTTTCAACTAAATAGCTAATCTGGAAAGAAATACATTTTTTAGGGGTAAATACAATTTAATATCCAAACCTTTCATTTTAAACAATATAATAGCCAAACCTTTTCGAAAACAATCTAATATACAAATCGTCAACTTTCCGTTCGTTTGACCGTTAATTGACACTTCAAAAAAGTTCGAAGTACGACGCTTCATCAATATCCATCGATATCTTCTCTGAAAAACCACAAACATATCGTGGTTCCAAACCCGAGATGTCCATGACTCCACCATGATGGTATAGAATATCTAAATATTCAGTCATCTGCAATGCCAAAATAAGAAAAAAAGTTGTATTGTGACAATTTTCTCTAAACAAAGCTTTTTTGAAGTGTCAATCAACGGTCAAACGAACGGAAAGTTGACAATTTGGATATTAGATTGTTTTCGAAAAGGTTTGGCTATTATAAAATGAAAAGGTTTGGATATTAAATTATATTTACCCTTATTTAAAATAAAAGGTTTGGATATTAAATTGTATTTACTTTTTTAGCCATTCATTTACTCATTGTTATCCCCGTGTAATCGGGAATTCTAACGTGCCGTCCATTTTCTACCTATTATTGCCAGTAACTTTCCGTTTCTTTGTTTGTCATAGCCGGTTACAATTTCATGGAAATAATAAACAAATAATTATTAAAGGGACTCGCATGATTATAATTTACCCTTAATCTCACGTTCTTCTTTTTATATCTCCATTCTAATTAGTTTGTAATAGTTTGTAATAATTTATTTACTTTTCTAATTTTCTTCTTAACTTTTGTATATGTCTTGACTAGTTTTTAAATATTCTTTCATTTTTCTAATCATGGTACCATGATTAATTGTGAGTTCTTAATAGGTTTCTTTGATATTATAGAAGTATTCTTTCTTTGAAATGAATCATACCTTTGGTGTTGTACATCCTTCATCCCGACTATAGATTTTTGCCTAAACATGCCCTTCTAAAATTAACACTAGAGGTAAAAAATGCTATTAACCCTTAATTTTATCATAGTTTATTGTATCCCTTATTGTTAAATTATTTTTTAGATGGTATCTAATGCATACTTTTTATGTGGCGACTCACAATTGGTCATCCGACAGACTTTGATAAAGGAAGCTTCAGTCATCTTGCTGGTAACTATTATTTTGTGTACTTAATTAGTCTATATAGTGTTTTTTTGCTTTTTGGAGCTTCTTCAAAGCTATAGTGGCAAAAAAAAAAAAATGCTCTTTCATCGATAATTTGGTTGTTTACAATTACAAGCTGCCACATATAGTGCGAGTCCGTCTTGTATTTTGTTCTTTTGATCACTGCCTTCTTACATGTCTTGGGGAAAAAAGAGAAATACTCCTGTCATGTTATTTTCTAGCCAGTGAGCATTAATTATTTATATTTAAGTTTTTATGGTGCTTTAATTATCATTCTATAATGATTTAGACATTGTTTTTATTTTTATCAATACTGTTAAAATCAAACTAGTGTATGAATCGATATAATGAGTGGTAGACATTTTATTGGTTTAACTTTTATTAAACATTTAATGAATGAGTGCTTCATAAACAAAAATATTATAGTATAATTTGTTAATAGAGTTATAGTAATATATTGATTTTAATATATTCCTAATGTATAATTATGTATGGCAAGTAACATGGGTTGTATACGACACAAATATGTTTTGGATACGAATATTTAGAATAGGATTATAATTGTAACACAGGTTGGATCAGGTATCTATGGTTGCTTAACCCAAAACCCGCATCCAATCCAAACGAGACGAGTTCCACAAAAAATCCTCATTCAAACTTAAAACTCAAATTTTAGCGAATAAATACTGGTGAGTTGGTCTGATTGAACGAGTTGGTCGATTTATGATTTACCATTTTTTAACATGTAAACGATTTATACTCCGATTTGATTTTGACAACATTACACAAACCAAAAAAAGTATAACTCTTTGTAGATACTAATTAAAACACCATAAAAGTAAAATACAAATAATTAAAGTAAACTAACCGATAATAACATGAGTACATGACTAGAGTATTTCGCTTTGACCATTAATAATCATGCGAGTGCCTTTTTTTTGTGGTAATCATGCGAGTGACTTTATAATATTTGTTTATTATTTCCATTAAATTGTAATCGAAAAATGAAAAGCAAAAAAGAAAGACACCGCCAATAACAGGTAAAAAATGACGGCATAGGAGACGAAACGGAAATGCGGATAAGAGAAGTGGCCAAAGAAGTCAACATGAGAAGACGAAGGGAACCTAGATCAAAACTAGAAATGGAAAAGCGAAGATTGGATTGTGGAATTAGCCCAGCCCCTACTTCCAGAATTCGGAAAAGGTCTGTGTATGCGAGAGACAGCAGCAGAAAGAACACGACAGAGTGAACCGAGGAGATCGTCAATGCCAAAGGCCCTGTTACATTATGTTACACTCAGTTATTGCTTGGAATGTGAGAGGCTTGGGGAACCCAACTAAAAGAGCAAAGATAAAGGCAATCCTCAAGAGGTGGAAGCCCTCAATTGTTGGCCTCATAGAAACCAAATGGAAGAAATGTCAACAACATCTTATATACTCAATCAGTGGATCGAGATCAGTGGATTGCGCAGCCAAGGATTCAGTAGGAGCTAGTGGAGGTATTGCAATTTTCTGGGACTGCAGGATGTATGAAGCCTTATCATTTTGGGAAGGGAAATATTCGCTGGCTGTGAAACTCAAGGCAACAGACAGTAGTGAAATCATATCCATATTGTTTGTATATGGCCCTCAGGAAAAGGAAGACAAACTGGACTTTTTGAAGGAATTGGAGCTCGTTTGCAGCAACTATACAGAGGCTATGTGTATAATAGGAGACTTCAACCTAGTCAGGTCGCAAGAGGATTATATTGGTAGACCTCAAAGTACCGAACTCATAGAGGAATTCAACAGTTTTATTGGAAGATTCAGTCTAGCTGAATTGCCACTGCAAGGAGAGAAATTTACATGGAGCAGAGGGGGCACTGAGAATACATTATCTCGCATTGACAGGGCCCTAATCAACGCTAGTTTCGAGGATGAATTCTCCCCTGAAGCTCTTATCGCCTTGGACAGAATATAATCAAATCATAATCCAATACTTCTACGATGGGGAAGGAAGGAGGATATTCGACACCCTTGGAGATTCGAAAATGCATGGCTTGAAGAGGAAACCTTCCTCACCAGTCTGGTAAGATGGTGGAATGTTCCTGTAAATGGAACCAGCCACCTGTTCAGGTTTGGCCAGAAGTGCAGACAAACCAAGCTTCTAATCAAAGAGTGGAACCGTGAGATTTTCGGTAGAGTGGACAGGAAGATCACCGGGCTACTGGCTAGAATCAAAAGCATTGATGATGAAGAAGAAGCAGGTGAGATAGGGATTACTTTGACAACAGAAAGATCATTAGCAAAGGATGAACTTGAAAAACTGTTAATTATGGAGGAAATTATGTGGAGACAGAAATCCAGGGAGATGTGGCTCAAATCAGGGGATAAAATTACACCCTTCTTTCACAGAGCAGCGAAGGTTAATCGTCGGAAGAACTTAATCAAAAGATTAAGGGTTGACGGAAGAATCACAGAAGACAGTAGCGAGATCAAGGCTGCTTTCATGGAAGCTTTTCAAAAGAAGTTTTCTGAGGAGATATTGGACAGGCCTTTTCCTGCCGAGTATACGCGCCCATTATTATCAGCAGAAGAAAATGAAAATCTAATCAAACCTTTTACCGAAGCTGAAATATTACAAGCAGTTAAGCAATGCAACGGTGACAAGGCTCCGGGACCCGATGGATATACTCTTGCTTTCTACAAAAAAGCTTGGAACATACTCAAGGTAGATTTGATCAAAGCCATGGATGATTTTTCCCTCTCAGGAAGCCTACCACACTCAATCGCACACTCATTCATATGCCTAATTCCCAAGAAAGATGCAGTGGAAGAAACATCAGATTTCAGGCCTATTAGTCTAGTGGGCAGCCTCAACAAGCTCATCTCTAAGATACTCTTCAACCGAATCCAACCCTTCATCAACAACATCATCTCAAAACATCAGTTCGGCGGGAAGAAAGGCAAAATAATACATGAAACCTGCCTTATTGCTAATGAAGTCATCGATAGTAGGAGGAGAAGCGGGAAGACTGGCCTAGTCATAAAACTCGACATTGAGAAGGCTTTTGACACGATAAACTGGAAATGCATCCTGAAGGCGCTCACTTGCTTTGGATTACACCATAGATTTCTAAAATGGTTGGCTGGTATTATGTCATCTTCCAAAATGTCGGTTTTAGTTAATGGCGAAGCAGCGGGCTTCTTCGGCATGGAAAGGGGTGTCAAACAAGGTGACCCACTCTCTCCTTTTCTGTTTAGTGTGGGAATGGACCTGCTGTCCTTCATACTAAAGAAAATCAACGAGGCAGGCCTACTGAATGGATTCTGCTTTGATGAGGAGGGACGACGAGGAGAAGTAACGCACCTTCTATATGCTGATGATGCTGTGATATTCTGTGAAGCCTCGGAGGATGAAGTAACGAATGTACTTGCTGCCCTGGTATGTTTTCAGACTGTCACAGGTCTCAGAATAAGCTTGGAGAAGACTCGAATCTTTCCAATTGGCGAAGTCCAAAACATAGACAGGCTAGCCGAGATTCTTGGATGTGACTGGGGGTTCCTTCCAACCCTCTACCTGGGAATGCCGCTTGGGCTCATCCGACGACGCATGCTAACTGGAATCGGGTTGTCAACAGAATGCAGAACAAACTCGACGGCCGGGAAGGAAAATACCTTTCGATTGGAGGAAGAGTTATCCTGATTAATGCAGTTCTCTCTAGCCAAAGCAGTTATATGAGTTCTTTATTCTTTATCCCTATGAACACAGTTAAGATGATGGAGAGGATCCAAAGAGATTTTCTTTGGTCCGGAACTCAAGACAAAAATAAGTTCCATCTGATTTCGTGGGAGTTATGCAAAACTCCTAAGAATCGAGGCGGACTTGGGCTTCGGGATATTCATCTCCACAACAAGGCATTATTATACAAATGGTTGTGGCGGTTTGCAATTGAAAGGAAGAGCTGGTGGAGGGAACTATTGTCCCTTAAATACTCAAACCCGAATTCTGAATGGAACTGCGGAGAAGGTGCTGGAGGATTGGGTTGTAGCCCTTGGCTACAAATTCTCAAGCTAAGAGATGAATTTTGGAGGATGGCCCGAGTAGAACAAGGAAGCGGAAACTGGACATCTTTCTGGTTTGATTACTGGATACAGGGAAAATGCCTCGCCAAGGAATTCCCAAGGGTGCTTGCTGCCGCCGAATCCCAGAGTGCTCGTGTTGCTGACCATATATCCTTTGTAGGTGAAAATATTTTGTGGGAAATTCCATTGAAACTTACTCTTAGGGGTGGGGCAGAGAGAGAGAGAGAGAGCGCCTTTTTCGCTTATTGGAAAATCTATCTGCTTCTGATTTTTCTGCAGGTCCAGGAAGAGTTATCTGGAACCCCAACCCCTCATCAGGGTTCTCGGTACACTCAGCCTATGAGAAGTTGGGTGAAACTACTCTTCCGGGAGAAGATGGCTTCCCCTGCAAATCGGTGTGGAGACATGTAATTCCGAGCAAAATCTGTGTGTTTGTGTGGTTAATATATCATGGCAGAATCCTTACAATCGACAATTTAAAGAGAAAAGGACTTCAGCTTGCAAACAGATGTATGCTGTGCAAAGAAGGAGAAGAAGCGATCAATCATCTGTTCATATTCTGCAGCTTCTCATCTGAAGTTTGGCGCATCCTCCGGACATTCATACCGATCGCAAGAGGGGCAGAAAGAGATGATGACATGAAAGACAGAATAAGAAGATGGGCACACCGCAAACCAAATAGCCCGACCCAATGGTGCTCATATGCCTTCCTACATGCGTTTTGCTGGAACATCTGGTTCGAAAGAAATTCAAGGACATTTAAGGACAGTGAATCGACGACACGAGTTGTAGCCTACAGGATTGGACGCGCGATAACACATTGGCTGTCCGCAGCCCGCGTAGTTGATAGAAGAATAGCTGAGAGCTGGCTCTACGAGATGAAGACTCGGTTGATTCCCCCCAGATCAGGTCAACATGGAAATCAAGATCAACAGCATCACGACGATCAGAGCTTGATACTCAGACGATTTAGATGAGCGCAACGGGTCTCCGTGGCCAGGGGAGATCATGGCTTTTTCAACAATTTAGATAATAGAACTGGGTTGTTGATGCATTGAGCTGTTGCGATGAGATGTATTAGTAGTTTATGCAGTGCCTGTGCTGTGTGGGGATTGCCGGACCATTTGCTGTCCTTGTGGCGGAAGTCGGCTCCCCTGCCTTTTTCTTTGTTCTTCCGTTCTTCAGACTTTTGTTGTATTTGGTTGTTTTTGTTTTCCTTTAATATATATCACCCAAAACAAACAAAAAATCACGGCATAGGTGCCGGTACGACACATTAGAAATCGCCGTTATATTGCAAACTTCCTTCCCGACGACGTGGAGCTTGTGCAAATATTATTTTTATTTAACTCTCCAAAAGAACAAGCACAAAAAACACTATTCCTTAAAGTTACATTTAAGGAGTGACCCTTTTGTAATTAGTCAAAACTTAGAAAGGTTTAAATGCCAAGGTTCTAATTAATTAGCTTATTACAATTGAACCCAAAATTAATCCAAATCAATGGATATTTGGTCTAATTCGACGCGGTCAAAATGAGTTGAATATGATGTTAGCGAGTTTTGGGTCAAGAATTATTTTTATTCCACTTTTAAGGTTTTCTGTCAGTGAGGATCTAATTAATTAACTTATTACAACTAAAACCAAATTGAACCCAAATCAATGGGTATGATCTACTTCGACCAAGATTAAGCGAGTTAACCTGGACCGAGTTTTTGCACGCTTTAATCATTGAAGCTTGGAGGATTTTTAGTGGCTTTAAAGTTCTAATTTTTGTGCCAATAAGGTTGGTGTTAACAAATTTTGGCTTAACGCCGAGTTTTGCACGCTTTTATCATTGAAGCTTGGAGGAGTTTTGTGGCATTAAGGTTCTAATTAATTAGCTTTTGACGATTGAACCCAAATCAAATGGCCATTCAACCTACTTCGACCCGGTTAAAGCGAGTTAAACCCGTTGTTGACGAATTTTGGCTCAACAACGAGTTTTGTGCTTGAATCATTGAAGCTTGGAGGAGTTTTGTGCCATTAAGGTTCTAATTAATTAAGTTATGACAGTTGAACCAAAATTGAACCCAAATCAATGGGTATTCGACCTACTAGAACCCGGTTAAAGCGAGTTTTGCACACTTAAATCATTAACCTGCTTTACGACGTTTGGGTTAATGACGAGTTTTGAAGACTAAAATTATTGAAGGTGGGAGGAGTTGTAGTGGCATTACGGTTCTAATTTTTGTTCCATTAAGGTTCTAATTAATCAAAATATTTTTGATGATTGAACCCAAATCAATGGCCATTCAACCTACTTCGACCTAGTTAAAGCCCGTTGAGCTCGTTGTTGACGAATTTTGGCTCGACAATGAGTTTTGTGCTTGAATCATTGAAGCTTGGAAGAGTTTTGTGCCATTAAGTTTCTAATTAATTAAGTTATGACAATTGAACCCAAATTGAACACAAATCAATGGGTATTCGACCTACTTGAACCCGGTTAAAGCGAGTTTTGCACGCTTAAATCAATTGGTATTGTATCTAATTCAACCCAGTTAGGTTGACAATGGGTTTTACACGCTTAAATCAATGCCCATTCGACCTAATGTTGAGCCGGTTAAAATTCTTTTTGAGATTACCCAAAACTTGGAGGAGTTTTTTGCCATTAAGCGAGTTAACCCGGTCCGAGTTTTTGCACGCTTAAATCATTGAAGCTTGGAGGAGTTTTCGTGGCATTAAAGTTCTAATTTTTGTTCCATTTAGTCTCCCAAAATTACTGAGTGATTATCTCCCTCAGTGATTATCTTCACTGGTGTCTCAAGGTCATTCTTCCCCCACAGTGGTAAGCCTTACAAACACATGAAGTTAACTGCCTCAATTGATGTCTCGTGTGCTAAAGACATCAAGAGGGTATTAACCACTTATTCTTCAGATGCCCCCTAGCCACTAAGTTGTGGACCTTCGTGGGATTGAGCAACTTCATTGATTCCGCCCCGAATACTAATTTTAGTCTATGTTGGCGACATTGTCATGATCTCTGAGATCTCCCCCATTCCAAATTCTCTAGTGCGTCTGTTTACTTAGAAGAATCTGGAAGTTTAGAAATAAAGTGATTTTTGAATTATACCAAACTCATGTCCGTTCCCTAGTCCGACAATTCTACAACCAGATCCTTGAAGTCTCTAGTTTATTCCCCCTTCACCGCCCCCAAATCGCTCCTCCCACCGCTTGGGAGCCTCCAGCCATAGGTAGAGCCAAGGCCAATTGAATGTGTCCCGGGATACATGCAACTTTTGGGTAAAATAAAATACCCATATATATGTATCAATTAAGGATTGCACTCATCACCTTTAGGTAATATAAAAGTGAATTATCACTACACTACAAGTTATTTCAAGTTTAAAAGCTAACATAAACTAATTTATCATACTGTAAACAAAATTTACAATACTAAAAAAATCAATCTCTCTGTCTTCTGCAGTTAGTTTTGACTCTACTCGTTGCAACTGCAAGTGTAAAAAGAACATTTTCAACTTTGAGATATATAAAAAACAAGTTTCAAAGTCGAATTGCGAACAATTTGTTAATGGTTGCTTAGTCGGATACATTGAGAATTTGAAAACGTGTCGTAAGTGCATATGAAAATAATGATTGTGTTAGTCTAGTATTTCATTAATATCTATCAATGAATTATTTCGATATTATTAGTTTTAATTATATTTATTAAATAAATATTTTTTTATTATATATTTATATTATGGAAAGATGAAACATGTACTTTCAAACTCTGGCTCTGCCACTGCCTCGAATAAACGACTATTTGAAGATCAAGTTCGATGCAGTTGTTCGCGACTCAGGGTGCTCGTCTGGTCTTGTTATCCGTGGATCAGACGGGCATGTGGTGGTGTCAGCCGGTTTGTGTCACCAGAGAGTATTCAATCCTAACCTGTCAGAGCTCTTAGCAGTAAGAGATGCTATCACCTTCGTCGCCTCAAGATCCTTGACTTACTTGATAGTGGAAGGTGATTCTGAGGTGGTCGTCAACCAGATCCGACAAAGTGTCCTAGAAGATTCCACTGGAGGTTTTGGTGCTCCGAGAGTGTCGTCAGATCATAGACTCTTTGTCAACTTGTTTATAGTTTAGGGCGGTTTCTATAGCCGCAACAGTGCTGCCCAAAGAGTGGCACTTAAAGCACTGCTTTTGTCTCTCGTAGAGTTAGAGTCTTTCAACTTTTTTGGGTGGCTTCACTAGGGTGTCGCTTGTAAGGGATTCCTGGGTAGTTTTGTTTGTATAACTCTTGTTCTCTCTTTATATCACTCGGAAATAAAAAAAAAGGTGTGTGGTTATTATGCAGAGTGTTCGGCCCAAAGGTAGATACTATTTGGCCAAATAACAATACACCTTAATGATAAATATGTAATGACTATCAAATTTTTTTTCTTACCATGTGAATAGGAGTTGGTCCAAAGACAAACTATTATTTGACAGGAACTTGTCATTAATATTTTATGTTGCGTGATGGTCATTGGATCATTATTATGCACTCTAAAGTCACTTTCTGCATTTCATGCCTCGTAATTTGTTTTGTAAACGAGACTAGTTTATGATGAATATAAGCCTCATTTCAGCAAATAAAATTTTGGGGTCGGCTTGAACATTTTAAATCCCTATATGGTAAAGGTTTATATAGCGCGTGTAAATTATGTATGTATTCACTGGCCCAAAAACAGGTGAATATTTAAGGTGTAATATGCGCACATGTAGTAATAGATGTTATGGTTATTCGTTTCACATGTGAATTTTTAAATCGGCTCAAAGGTAAATTTGTTGTTTTGCATGTTATTGTCATCAACATTTAATTATTGTGTCATAAGACATCACTTAGAAGTTAATATTTTGTTCAAAGATAGAATATTAATGGAGTGCAAAGTGTCTTGGGATCGAGTACCCTTTTTTAAATTATTATTGTAATTCTCTCTTAATGGTAATTAATCACTTATTAATAATTGTGATTATGAAAGAATTGTCCAGTATTTTAATTAAATTAATTTTAGCAGTATGTTGTCAAAGTAACCTCTACTTGCGAGAATTATTTTAAATTAGAATACATGGATGTACGTGTAAGGTAATTTTATGTGGGTAGTGCTCGACCCAAAGGACGACATTATTTGACCAAAATAATCAAGCACATTAATGGTAAATACGTGATAATTATACAGTTGTTCATGTAAATAACAGACGGTCCAAAGATAGATTGTTGTTTGGCATAACTTATTATCAGTATTTAATCATTGTATGAAGAGTATTGTTCACAATTAATTTCTCTGTCCAAAAACTAAGAATTAATGTTGCATTTGGTATCTTATGATGAGTCTCCAAAATTGAATAATTTTCTATTCTTGTTTAATTACATAACATGATGTGTGTTTTCTTTTATCTTCATATAGTTTTCATGCTTTGGTTTAATTTTTTTTTATTTTTTTTTTTTGCTAAATGGGATGAATCTAAATAATTTAAAGTAAATTGAAGACAACTATTTTTTATGTATAGGTTTTGATCATGCGCTTTTATGTGGAACAATCCCTACTTTACTCCGGAATATCTCAGCGAGATTTAAACATGTATGAATTACTCCAATTAAGTGTTCTTGATTATATAAGCTCTTTTATTCGATGAATAATTTAGGGACTCTTTTACTGAGACATTTGTGAGGTTCATTGTAGTATTTTGCTAAACTCAAATAGATCCGGGGTAAGTTGCATATTGGGGTAATTTAATCCATAAAGTGTAAAGGCAAAAGGTACAAGCGTATTATACTTTGGAGGTGTTGTATTTCGAATTAAAATAAATTGACTAAAGTTAGAGTTGTCAAACGAAATACTCAAACACTTGGTTTAATTTATCTTCCTCCATCAAATTTCCAGTGAGTACTGATACTCATAAAGGAAGAGGAGGGAAGATACGAGATAAGATTGTCCTCACTCACTTAACCTCAAAATTATTAGTAAAGGAACAAGTAGAGAGCTAAGGATATTATGATTTCGTTGTACTCTTAAAGATATGGTAAAAAGTATTTCTACTTTCTAGACTCCATTTGGAGAAAAGCCATAAAGATAACAACGTACATCCTTAGATAGAGTATCTAGAAAAAGTAGTTAATGTTCCCCATAAGTGACTTGCACATTTAGGGTTTTCCAACTTTGGGAAAACCTTATAAAGTACAAGAAGGTATAGTAGAAAGTTTGAAAACCCTATAAAGTACAAGAAGGAATAGTGGATAGAATGATACAACTAACATATATTTTTTTTGGTTACTCGTAAGTGCTCTCGATGCTACTATATTTATAATCTTACATGGGACACCACACCATCAATGGTGAATTCTTACCTACTTTTGGGGTAAAAAATAAAAATCCGTGTACAAAATTGAAAAATGGAATCATGGGTGTTTGAGCAAACGATACGGCTAGTTATCCCAATGACATGCCCATGTCACACATGAACAACTAGCAGTATCAAGGTTGTCAAACCGTGAGTCGATCCTCGGGTCAAATCACTTTAACCCTGGCCCGGAGAAAAACGAGCCGCACACACCCACCGGGTTTACTGCTACAAGGTAACGAATTGGAGGCCAAACTGTGTCATTTTTTTCTCTGAACTTCTTTTTTAAATTCATCGCCTCAAATTGTGTCTTTTTTTAATTGACGCCCTACTTTTTAAAATTCATCGCCCTAAAAAGAGCCTAAAAGACAATTATGCCCCAATCCCAAATCTATGGTAAATCCTCAACAAAAATCCCCACCGCAACTATGCTCTTGTTATTGCCGGATCGTGCTCTGCCTGCCGCTGCTGGCGAGTTCGAAGAGGAAGAAGACCGAAGGAATTTCGGGTTCATGTTTGCTACGTCTGACAGATTCAACTTCGTCGCGGCCTCCGTAGAAGGAACTCCGGCGCCATACCTATCCTCCCATCCAAACCCTTCATGCCGATACCCAACCCCGCCGCCAACCTCCCTTTGCCGCCGTCAAGGCAAACCGGAAAGAGAAGGAACTCCAATCGTTGCCACAGAAGGAACTCGGACCAGAAAGACGGACAGAGGACACGATCCGACTATCCTAACAGTGGGACGGATTTAAAATCCGTCACCGGCGACGACGGGACCGGTCGAGTACCCGTCCAATAAGTGAACCCAGAACAAAAAAAATGGTGCAAGGTTGGAGGATGGCAGATCATTCTTCCCCGTCAAAGCTCGTAGCTAGCATCGGAGTGGCAACGGCGGCGGCGAATGGAATCTGCAGCTGCAGCAGGTAAAGGTCTTGGGAAAAATGCATCGATTTTGCAATTTAGGGCGATAAAATTTAAATTTTTTGGGCGACGAATAGCAACTCCCTTTTTTCTTTGGTTTGCGAAATGCGTCTATTGTTCGATTTTTCTTTTCGCATAACTCAAACTTTGGAATCCAAAGTTGAACATTTGAATATAAGTGTGTGTAAATTTTCACTGTAGGGATTTTCTAAGGTAACTTAAAGTTAGGTAACTTGAATTTTTTTACCTGCTATAGCAGGTTTCACAGGTCGCATTACGTAAAATATAATAGGCATTACGTAATGCTTAGGTAATGTATGGTAACCTTACGTAACAGTTGTAAAAGGTCATTACGGAAGTCTTACGTAATGGACGATTGTTTTACGTAATGAATACCCACATTGCATTACGTAAAGTATAAAGTGATTACGGAAGCCTTACGTAACGCTTCCGATTTGACTATTACGTAAGAAATAACTATGTTCCGTAATCTTTACGTAATGGAGGGTCTTTTTACGTAATGAGTATTAACCTCGCATTACGTAAAGTGCTAAGTCATTACGAAAGCCTTACGTAATGCTTGTGATTTTACTGGTACGTAAGAATTAACTATCGTTTCGTAAACTTTACGTAATGGTTGTGTATTTTACGTAACAGTTGTAAAATGTCATTACGAAAACCTTCTGTAATGGAAGGTCCCTTTACGTAATGAATATTAACCTCGTGTTACGTAAAGTGCTAAGTCATTACGAAAGTCTTACATAATGCTTCTAATTTAACCGTTACGTAAGAAATAACTATATTTCGTAACCTTTACGTAATGGGTATTAATTATAATAAGTAAATAATCAAAAAGAAAAAAAGACACATAAAATAGGAAAAGGAAAGTTATGACAAAAAAATGATTAGAAAAAGGAAACAAATGTTCCCGCTAACAAAAAGAAACCGGCACCGCCGGTTGCCGTTAATTCATTTTTTTTTTCCTTTTTAATCAACGGTTCAAAGTAATTATAAGTTATTTTGATGGTTTAGAACGGGTTTGGATACTATAACAACACCAATACTGTTGTTATAGTGACAACAAGGGTAAAAGAGTAAACTAACATAATATCTAACCAATAAAAAAGTTAATTAAAATATATTTACCCATCCCTACTTATCAAATCGGGTTTCTTCCCTCATCCCGCCCCAAACTTTGCTCTGCCAGTCTGGCAACTCCGCCGATCTCTCCATCATAGCTCTGTCACAATGGCAGCGGCGGCTGCTGATTAGTTTTCCGACCGAATCTCGATCCTTCTCCGACTCCTCTGCCCCGCTTCTTCCTCGCCGGCGCCGGGAAATAGACTCTGCAATTTCTTCTCGTCGATGGCCTCCTCTGTTTTAGATCTCGTGACGCCGGCGCCTCTCATCGTCATTGACCTACACGCCCAACACCGACAACGTCGCTGCAGGGAGGATTTGCTTCTCTCATGGCGGTTGGAAGGGGAAAACAGAAGCTCCGGTTAGTTAGCATGTAAAAGGAAGCCAGAGCAAGGGCAGTCTCTTTGTTGATCCCTTTGGATGTCTGGCTGAAGAGAAGAAACTAATACGGAAGCTGCTCAACTTGAGATTGAGAACCAACGAAGACGCAGAGTAAAGGAGAATTTATATCCTGAAAACACTCTGCAACAGAGGTGGTAACCAGAACATAAGGGCGTTGGAACATCCCTTAGTGTTCATTGTTTGTAAACTTCTTACTTTGTCATTTTTGGGATTTGGGTTTTCTGGTGTGATTGCTAATTGGATGCTTAAGCCGGTCTCTTGGTTAATGCATTTCAGCCGTACAAATCTTTGTATATGTTCCAATAACAAATATCTTATATTGTTGTTATATTGTTGTTGCTTTGCGAGCACACCAGGAACCCTCTAATGCAAACCACAAACACGGTAAAACAAACCAAACACGTCCTAATGCAGACCACAAATATATTAAAAAAAATCTGAAACCTCGCAAACCAAACCACAAAAGTTTCGAAAGCACACCAGAAACTTCTTAATGCAAACCAGAAACCTCCTAATGCATACCACAAATCTCCTAAAACAAACCACAAACCTCGCAAAGCAAACCACAACATTTGCGAAAGCACACCAGAAACCTCCTAATGTAGACCACAAATATATTAAAACAAACCAGAAACCTCCTAATGCATACCACAAATCTTTCCAAAACACATCAAAAACCTCATAATGCAAACCACAAACCTCCTAATGCATACCACAAATCTCCTAAAACAAACCACAAACCTCACAAAGCAAACCATAACATTTGCGAAAGCACACCGGAAACCTCCTAATGCAAACAACAAACACAGTAAATCAAACCACAAAAAAGCAAACAATAAACGTCCTAATGCAAACCACAAATATATTAAAACAAACCAAAAACCTCACAATGCAAACCACAAAGTTTTTGAAAGCAAACCAGAAACTTCTCAATGCAAACCAGAAACACGATAAAGCAAACCAGAAACTTCTTAATGCAAACCACAAACACGATAAAGCAAACCACAAAAGGCATACAAAAATATGAGAAACCAAACCATAAATCTCACAATGTAGACCATACATCCGGTCTTCGTTGACCGTTGACCCGGTCAACGAAGACCGTTGACCGAACTCCGGTGACCGTCAGTGAGCAGATTCCGACGCCGATAGGCATATTCCGGCCCCGATGACTAGATTCCGACGCCGGTAAGCATATTCCGACACCGGTAAGCATATTCCGACGACAAATAGCATATTCCGGCGACAAATAGCATATTCCGGTGACCGGCGACCACTTCCCGGCGACCGGTGGCAGAATTCCGGCAACCAAATTTTTGGGCAGAAAATAAAAATTATTTTTTTATTTTTTTTATTCTTTATTTTTTTATTTTTTTATTATTTAAACATATTTTTCATAATGACAATTATACCCCTGTTTTGATTTTACACTAGGTCAACTCAACTAATAAAAAGTCATCACATCCCTAGCTTCCTATTGGTTGGGGACTAGTGTTGTTATAATAACAACACAATTGGTGTTGTTACAATAACCGGTCCCGTTTAGAACTAATCAAGTTGCCTAACTTAAAATTATACCCAAGTTACCATAGGGAGTCCCTTCACTGTATGTTGGATCTAAGTACGAGATGTTAATTATATGTTAATGGGTGACCCATTAAACCTTGACCCACTACCTCGACTGGGTTCGAGTCAGCCCGCAGATTGACAACATTGAGCAGTATCATCCAACCAACACCATAGACCCTCCAGTAAACAAGCCGAATTGGCTGATATTAGGCTCACTTAAAGCAATTAATAGGGTTGGTAACCGACAAGCCGGTTAACGGTTCAACCGATAATCGTACCGATAACCGGCGGTTATCGATTAACCTTTAACCAACGGTATCGGGATACGACATACGAAACCTAGCTGTCGGTATACCGACCCATACCCGGTAAGTAACCGTCGGTTACTCGGTATAACCGAGTATACTACGCAAAAACCCTCCTCTGTCGGTCAGTTCACTCCTCTTCCTCTACCCTGTTCGCTCCTCTCTCTCCATCTCCCTCAAAAAAATTCTCTCTTTCCTCCACAAAAAGAACCTTCACCATGAGAGATTCTATGAAATCCCCTCATCTCTTTCTCGATTTGTTGATATGGACCATGCCGTCGTCGGAGAGAGGGCAGGGGCGATAGATTTGCTGCTCGCCCAGCCACCGCCTTTCTGGACTCCTCTGTCGCCGCCGCTGCCGTTGTGGAGACCCAGAACTTGATCCGGTGACTCCTTCTCCCTCTCGAACCCAAAACCCGATCCGGCGACTCTCTCTCCCTCTTGATTCCAGATCCGGCACCATGCAAATCCCTCTCGAGGTGGAGAACACCCTTATATTTCTCTCCTTGCCTGCTTGGAAATATAGCCGCTTTGGTATTTCTAATCTAGGTATTCAATGTGTAACTTTGATTCCTGTTCCAATGGAGGTAATGAATCCGGTGTTAGAGATGATGTTAATATTGAAAAGATGAAAAACATCGTTCTTGAGGAAGATATTGGTGATGCGGAGAAAGAAAAATTATGAATAGTGTTCAAACGTTGAATGAGGTAAATTCTACTCCAATGAGAAAGATATTATGTATTTGTAAATTTTTTACCAATTATTACTCAATGAAATGAAGGAGAAAATGAATAAATTATTGAAATGCAGGAGAAGAAGGAAAAGACAATTAATGATGTAGATAAATGTGTCACCAATGGAAATGAAGACATTATTATTGGTGGAGATGATAATGTTGCTCATGGCGGAGGAAATACAAACAAGTAAAAAAGAAACGTGCAGTAAGTTTAGACGATGAGGAGTAATTAGAAATGTAATTTTAAAGTGTCTTTAGGAGTCGCTTCCCTTGCAGGATACTTTTCTTTCATTTTCATTAAAGGATTTTGGTCGATTAGTCATTAAAATGTAGGAAAATAGTATGATGTTGATCCATTTGTATTGTTGAAGTATTTTTATGATTTGGAATTTCTTATTCTACCAATCGATTCTAATGTTTAGAGTATTTTATTAGTTTAGATTTGCTTATACTAATACGTAACTCGGATACAAATTGCTACTTGTATCTACGTGATTGTCAACTGAATCGGCCAACTGGCCGGGCCCATGACTAGTTAGAACGAGAAACTGAAGGAAAATTGAGAGAAAGGAAAAAGTTAGGAGAAAAATATAATTTTTAAAAAAAAAAATTCCGTGCTCAGGGGTAAGTTTAATATTCCAATCGTCCTCCAATTTGCAGATAAAAAATATGTTTCGC